CCGCCCACTGCGGTCTCGCCCCGGTCCCGGCCGCGATGCGCCGGCCTTCGGCGCGGCCTCTCCCTTCTCCTCTTGGTCACCCTCTCCTTCTCTGCTTCCCCCATTCCCTTCTCCACGACAAGTTTTTAAACTTTGATGAACTGGCCCAGCGAACTTTCTTAAAGGAGCCGCGCGCCGCCGGAGGTGGAGCCGAGTGCCAGGCACGCCGCATCCCCGCCCTGTCGGCCCCACGCGAGGTGCGCCCTCGGCGAGGCCCCGGGATTGTGGGCTCCCCTTTAACCTAGGGTAGGAAAACGGGGTGTTCGACGCGTTGCCTTTGCCCCCAGAACTACTCGCCGGGTCGCAGTTCGAACCGTCCTTCCCACAGCTCAGAGCTGCGGGGTCCGGGTTCTGAGGATGATAGGCGGGGGAGGGGGAGAATGGCAGACACCTGGGCTTTGGTCTTCCTTGGGCGTTGTTTTGCTGAGTGACCTTGAGGAAATCACTTCCCCTCTCTGGCATCAGGCTCCTAGCCCAGAGGGTGGGACTTAGGAGGCAAACTCCTTTTCCGCTCTCAATCTCTGAATGGCGCTCAAGGCTGGAAAATACGTCTCGTGGCCCTAATGGCTATTAGCCTTAAGAGGGGATACCTCGAATGACCTAGAAGGTTCCCCACTACCAATACCCGGCTTTTGGGTCTTCTCACTCCACGCCTGAACTAAGTACCCCGTCCAAGCCGTTCCCCTCCAATTCAAAGACGAGCACGGGGGGAGGGGAGAGCAACCTGGCTGCTCGGGTGGAGTCGCGGTGACTCCCACCCGACGGGTCTCGAGCCTCTTGAATTTGAAAACCCGCGCAGACCAGGGCTGGCCCCTGCCGCCAGTTTGTTAAAACCCGCGCCCGCTTCGGGTCCCGCTGGAAGCGCCCGAATCCCGATTGTCCGGCGGAACAACCCGAGGGTTGGGCTCCTTTCCCGCGTCCCCACCCCAGAATTCCTGTTGCGTCCTGAGGGATCCAGGTCTGCAGCACCATCCGGCCTAGAGTAGCTACTGCGGAGAGGCGAAGGGACGCGGAGGGGTCAGGCGTCATCGGGTGTGATCGACGGCCCGCGCCTACTCTCTGTGCTGACTAAACTAGAACTAGCTAAGCTAGATCTTGGGTCCGGGTCTGGAAGCGACGCGCAGCGGCGGTAGACTTAAAAGGTTTGCAGGTGCAACCAGGAGGCACCCCAGACCTTGGACGAGTAACTTGGCCCCTGAGAATCTCAGTGTACCGGCTTGGTAAATAGGGGCAGCACCACCATACTGGTGTTGTGCTGTGACTCATTCTCCCAGATAATTTATAATCACCTCAACCTACCACCTCACAGGTAAGTAAATTGATCACTAAAGATGGGTGATATGTTTCCCAGTGACATTCATTTATTTGGTAAAAATTACTGAGCACCTACTTTGGGCCAGGGGACCACTTTGCTGTGGCAAAAGGCCAGAAACACCTGAGAAGAATCAGGCACTGTCAATCCGTGATGTGCTTATCACCTTTTACACAGAATTTTCGAGCCTCCGTCCAGTCTGGATTTGTCACCAGCCTTCTGCCCTAGAACAGATCTTCCCATCATTTCTCAGATGATTTTGATACAGTAATATTTAAAAGAAATTTCCCTTTCTCTCCCAATCCCCAATCCAAATCCTCCCTTTCCTGGAGATCCTGCTGTAGTCCTGCTTTTTCCAGGAGTAGGGGCCTGACCTGGTCGGTTTTCTAAGCTCCTGTAGCCCCTTTATGGTTAATTTAAATTTTTCCCTTTTTATTTAATTATTTTTGTTGTTTGTAGTATTGGAAATTAAACCTAAGACTTTGCACATGCTAGACAAGCACTCTACCACTGAGCTACATCCCCAATAAAGTTGAAGGGGCTTTCATCTTGTGGTTTTGGTCTCCATTTTATAGAAGGTCAAGCTGAGGCCCTAAGAGGTGACAATGACACAGGGCCCACTATGGGGCCCCAATCACTGATTTCCATGATAAGATGCTGATACTTTTTTAATAAAAATCTTTATTAATTTTATGATGATAATAGCATTGCATGCCCATTATTGAATACTAGAAGTGAAGCTTTGGTTTATTTTGTTTTGTTTTTTGGCACACGGGATTGAACTCAGGGGTGCTTAACCACTGAGCCACCTCCCCAGCCTTTTTTATTTTTTATTTTGAGACGGTCTCACACATTTGCTTGGGGCCTTCTAAATTGCTAAGGCTGGCTTTGAACTTGCAATCCTGCTGTCTCAGCCACCTGAGTCACTGGGATTATGGGTGTGCACCACTGCACCCAGCAGTATACTTATTTACTTATCATGAGCATTTTTTTTAAATTTTTTGCTCAGTTTTTAATGATTGAGGCTAGAGTTTAACTCAGTGGTAGAATGTTTACCTTGCATGCACAAGGCCCTGGGTTCAATCCCAGAACCATCCCCCCAAATGTAATGATTGTTTATTCCCCAGTATATTGCCTTCATTTATTTATCCTATCTTCTGTTAGACATTGACGTTTTTTTCTATTTTTTTTTCCTTTTTGCCTTCATAGGCGTTATATGAGAATTTTTTTTTTTTTAGAGAGTGAGAGAGAGAGGGGGAGAGAGAGAGAGAGAGAGAGAATTTTAATATTTATTTATTTTTTCTTAGTTCTCGGTGGACACAACATCTTTGTTTGTATGTGGTGCTGAGGATGGAACCCGGGCTGCACGCATGCCAGGCGAGCGCACTACCGCTTGAGCCACATCCCCAGCCCCTATATGAGAATTCTTGATGCCTCCAAAAGATTCCCCTTTGTGTGACCAGCCCTTAAGCATTTTGGAGGCATCAATTTTCTGATTCCACCCTGGGTCCCCCACAACCCCTGAGTGGGAGAATCTCCAACCCCACAAGGATATAAAGATCATGAAAATGCAAAGTTTTCACCAGCCCACGCTTCCCTGAGTTGTCTTATACCTTCCCTTCTGATAGTGGTGTATAAGATGTAGATGGAGTTGAGAGTGGAGTTCAGGGTGTTCAATTCTGTTTGAAAGGTGTGGGGTGTGGTGCCCATGCCTGTAATCCCAGCTGTTAGGACTGGGGATGTGGCTCAGTGGTCAAGTGCCCCTAAGTTAAATTTCCAGTACCAAAAAAAAAAAGGGTACAAACTTTTATTTCTGTTTCCCCCAGTCGCAGCCTCAAGTAGCCCAGCCTCCAGCAATCTTCTGTGCCCCCATTCAGCCCCCAGCATTAAACTACATGTCACCTCTGAGCTTCTCACATTTCTATCCCCTTTGCTTAGAGGCCCCCCACCCCCAGTTTCCTGACCTTCGCCAGCAGCCCCCCCCCCCAAACACCCACGTTCTCAGTTTCTTTTTGGTATCCTGTTGAGCTTGGGCACATCATGTCTTGGAGTCTCACATAGCACATGGGAAACTCTGTCTCCAAGGTTGTCCATAAACCCTGCTGAACAGTAGAGCTTGATGAGTAGTGGCCATTTCCTCTCATAGAAATGGTATCTAATCATCCTTTGTTGAAATTATATACTGGGATGTTACTAAGGCCTCAGGATTCTAATGTTTATGGCCTTTTTCTTTGATTTGCTATACTTACATTATTCTTTGGAATTTCATTCTCAGGGTAGGGAAGAATCGGATGGTTCACTCCCAAGAAATGCCACCCCAGGTATGCTTTGTTACTTCAGGTCAGGTCCCCACCATATGTATAAAATTATTTTAAAAAATTTTTAGGTCTGGGGATGTGGCTCAAGCGGCAGCACGCTCGCCTGGCATGCATGCGTCCCAGGTTCGATCCTCAGCACCACATACCAACAAAGATTTGTGTCTGCCGAAAACTAAAAAATAAATATTAAAAAAAATAAAATAAATTTAAAAAAAATAAAAATAAAAAATTTTTAGTTGTTGATGGACCTTTATTTTATTCATTTATTCATATGCAGTGCTGAGAATCGAACGCAGGGCCTCATACATGCGAGGCAAGTGCTCTACCATAGAGCCACAACCCCAGGCCCCAGGCCCTCACTTCTGACTCCAGCTTCCCCGCCATCAGGGCAGTAAGATGACAGATAGGCAGGGTAACCTTGAAGCTCAAAGGGTGGGTATTTTTGAGGCTTATTTTCTTGATACTTATAGGTTTAGTCTCCACTCTCTTAAGTATAAGAGGCTCAGGAGGGGAAGGGGACAAGATGCTGTTCTGTGCCATTAATGTGTCATCTCTCATAACCTTCCCATTGTTCCTGCAATCCTTAGTTATTTTTAGGAATCTGAGGTTCAGAAATTTTAGAGGAATTCTCCTAGCCACTAGTGGATGGCTTGGGTGTTGGGGAAAGAAGGAGACAACTTTGCGACAGGATTCTGATTCTGTAACCTTGGACAAATTACTAACTAAATACTGGTCAGTTCATCTGTAAAATGGGACAATAGTGCACAACTGCATAGATGTGTTGTCAGACAAGAGCTTCATGATAAGGTCTTAGTGGTTGTGGTTATTACCCGTGGTCCTACTCCTAGTGTATAGGTGAAGGTCGGAGAATGGGTCATTTCGATCGAAGTCCCTGAGATCTCTTCTTGCCACTCTGGGCCACATTCTGAACCTGAATCTCAGGTTCAAATCCAAGACAAACACTGTATCCAGGTATCTGTGCCAAAAGATCTGAGTTTGCATCCAGGTGACCATAGCAACCTGTGTGGCTATAGGCAGGTAGTTTAATCTTCCTGAGGCTTTGTTTTCTCAAAGTTTATACTAGAGATATCTTTCAGGCTCTTCTGAGTCTCACTCAGGTTTTCCTGAATATTAGATGAGACCCTAACTCTGAAAGTTCTTTGTTGGCCACAGAGCTCCAGGGCAACAGAAGAGATGATTATGACATCAACAAAGGAATAGAATATATAAACTTCATTTAAGATCCAGCCTTCCAGAGAGACAGTGTTTCCTCCTGCAAAAAAAAAAAATTTCCTGCTCTATCACATGGCTAAAAATTAGTGGGGTACTGCCTGAGAAGAGGGGAAGGTATCTCTTTTTCATATTTGAATCTTCAGTGTAGACACTGAAGATCCCAGGTCCTGGCAAAAGAAGTTCAAAAGTAACAAAACCAGGCTTGGTGGCGCAAGCCTATAATCCCACCTGCTGGAAGATTGCAAGTTCAAAGCTAGCCTTAGCAATTTAGCAAGGCCCTAAACAATTTAGATGGGGATGTGGCTCACTGGTTAAGCACCACTGGGTTCAATCCCTGGTTTAAAAAAAAAAAAA